GCTTATCCTTGTTGCTCCAAAGGTTTTGGTAGAGAATCGGGTTTCTACAGTTCCAGAAATTGACCTCGACTTAACATCGCAGGAGTACAATGCTGAATAAAATAAAAAGTGGTTTAAGTGAAAATGCATTGCATATTCCTAATTTAGATCTCTATTCACCAGGATACAGTATTTTTCTATAAATTTTTAGCGGAAATGGCTCGCCTCGACGTGACAAAATTGTAACCAAATCTCTACGTAAATCACAGAGTCGTAGGTGACCAGAGAACCTGTTTGTTACTGTCGTTGCTTTTGGATGAAAAAATGTATAATAGGGACCTCTTTAGAGACTGAAGCTTCCACATGGAACGATGGACAAAATTAGAATTTTGTGTTGTTTACTGTATCAAGATCATCGCGAACTTCAAGTTGAAATGTTGGCGTATGTTCTCAACAGCGTAGTTCCCTACGTTCTAGGGTGCGCTCGCTTCAAGGGTGCTTGATATAATGTACCGGGTACTCTAGGTATGACGTTTAACCAGCATTTCAGACAGCCAAGGCGAAGATTTTATATCTAATCTACAAACACAACGAAAATGAAGAAATGTAAAACTTATTCCAACAAACAGCAGTGAGACATTTGAAGTTTTAACATTGTCACATATGTACCTGGTACGTCTTGAATTTGTTTGTGTGCAAGTATCTCGTACTAATATAGGCTCTGTTTTAATATCTACTTTAATAAAACACTTTAAATTTTTAAAACACGGAAGTCCGAAAACCATCTAGGGTTTCACGCATCGCATACCACTTCAACAAGCATAAATTTTGTAATAATCCAGTCAAATATGCACGTTATAGATTACTTGAAAATTTACCTTATCCGTCTGTGCCTCTAGAAAAACCTCATTGATAATTTTTCTGGTAACTAATGCGCTTTAAGTCTATGGACTATTACTGATTTCATGCGAGAACGGAGTTAACAGAAGAAAGGTATAAAAATAATTTTTTTACGATTATAGAAAGATGTAGTTGGACAGAGCGAACCCGGAAATCCGTAGTTGTGACACGATATTGTGAAATTAAGCTTTGCCAATCTCAAGTTTTTTTTATGCGCTGGGTACTCGGAATCATTTATTTTTATTTAGCATAAATGATATGCCCCCTTCATGGTCTGATCAGAGTGGGTTCTGGGGAGGAGGTTCTTGGACGGTTCTGAGGTTTCTGCAACTGACTTATGCAACGTGATGGCAACCTTAATAATAAAATTTTATTATCTTTCTCAATTCCTAGCTTTCCTCATTATTATCTTTATTAGTATTATTTGATATTAACCTTCACTAACAGTGCGAGGAGAGCTAGCATGCTTCATAGTTTTAATTACCGTGACATCATATTTTAAACGACGCGTCTTAAATGACGCCGTCTCTTTATAGGCAGGTAATACCATACTTTAATAAAAGTTATGCAGTAGCTCACCTAAGCACTACGGTCACGCTAAGAGCATTGAGCTCCGGCACAATGAGTGGGCCACATCGCACTTACGGCCTCGCTGAGCAGATAAACCTGCGTACTGGCTAAAGATGCAATTTTCTTACGAATCCGTTATATCGCAGATTAAAAGTTGTAATTTCGTTTTGATAGATTGCAGAATACTCGGGTCGACTCATGATTTTGAGGCGTAAAAATGGGTTCACGTTCATCGTAACTTTACCATGTGCGAATTTCATTTCTACAAATCTATAAACGAAAATTTCCATAGGGTGAAGAAGGGATCAGCCGTGCACCTGCACGTCCTGTGTGATGTCCTGAGACGTCTTGAAACTCGAAAGGGTAGCCCCAATTGATGTTCTGCCGTTTTGTGCAGGCGGACATCTATCCTAAATGCTAGTACGAATTTTTTAATAAATTCTTTGCTGACCGGATACTCTATGTTTAGCTATCAACCGTTACTGTGGTTTCGTTTCACAATTATTATGCAAGCAAATAGATCATCATTATTATATCATATACCAAGTAAGATTATTGATACTATTTTGATCTGGTTAAAGGAATACGGCCGCATTTTTACGACAATTTGTGCCAATCACCTTAATTTTGTTAAATGGAGGTACTTTTTGCAATAAAAGAAAGCCCAGTCATTTTTTTCGATTTATTGTTGGTAGCTTTGATGTAAGACTTGATGATTGCTGCTATTTGTCACTGTAGAAATCACTCCGACCCACCCAGACGACAGCCACTCGCCTACTAGGCTATTTTTGGACATCAGAACCCGTGAACTGTAAATATACTGCTGCTTCTGCTACAAATCCAGCATAAGAATGCTCATTGCTTAAGATAATGCAGGACAGACGTTGATGAAAGCTGTCTACTTTGTGTCGACAGTACAGGTATCTTCAATAGTGGTTACGTAGCAGACACCAGAGAACCAGGGCTCTTGCCCCATAGAGTTGCTGGAGATCCATACCATCATGGAATGTGCTCTAGTTAGATGGAGCCAAATAGCTCAAAAAGGTGTCAGGCTACGTACGTGGTAGGCGGGATATTTGCTGGTAACTCCTTGTGTGAGGAACAGCAACGGATACTTGTTTTGCTTATACCGAATCATGGTGCAGGCGTCAGGATGGAAACATGATAACAGAATGAATCGGTCGCCGGAATGCTGAAGAAGTTCGCTTAGAACGATATCCAGGTGTTCATTCATATCGAACGGATAGTCGAGTTCCCAGCTACCGTCAGCATACTGTAGTGCAGCCTCTATCTCAACATTACAACCGACACTGCCATCTACAGCCTGTTTTTGAAAGAAAGATATACCACGTTGGCAAGCGGAGCGTTCGGCTATAGAAAGGAAGACCTATGCTGTAAAAGTTGTAAATGCAGTCTTCACTACCGTCAAAATTGTTTTTAGAGTCGGGAATGGCTGGTTGTCGTCGACATCTTCATCGGTGAACTCGAGTCGCGCTTCGGCGTGCCTCATTTGCGGCATTTGGTTGAAGGTGGGTACCACAACACCTAGTGAAACTTCCAATGGCTACCAAACGTATTTATGATAAGAGAAGGTAAAACAAAAATATCTAGGTAAAGCTTGCTTTCGTCAGCCATAGAAACAATGAACGTATTAAGACATATTTGGGTAATAGGTCACTACTATATTCCCGTTCGAAAATGTCAAACCTAAACGTACCGAACTGACTTACCAATAAACGTAGTCTAAAAATTATGGTAACATACAGAGAAATCGTGGTGTCAATGTGTACGTACGCCTCAAACAAACATTTTACTTACGGAGTACGAAGCCACAACTGCTAGGATAGAACAAATACAAAGATGATAAAGTTCAAAGCCCTTAGGATATGTTTTGGCTCACATAAGGATGGATGCAAAGAGTGACTAATTCTTAGCCTGGTTCCCCTGTCCTCCACAAAAAAAGATCAAAGAAATGTGAGGACCTCGTATAACACTAATATAGTAGTAATACATAATGCAGATTCAAAGGACATACTTTTCAAATAGAAATCTTTGAACGAGACTTATTCAGCACGAATTGCATTGTGTTGACACGTGAATTCTCTGTTGACCTAATCAAGTCATTTTTATCTTATCATTTATTATCGACGCCTTTATAGTTCTATTCAAATCCATGAGTATTTGTCTTCGCAGTCCTTTATTTTGCCTGCAATCTACTCGAAAGAGTTCGATAATTCTATGTATATATATGGTTTTTTATTGTTTTTTTTCGTTCGGCAACGTTCTACTTTTCTTTTTCATTACTCTTACTCTCCCCCTACCCTTATACACATTTCGGGGTTGATCTGGTGAACTTCCCTACTCTGTGGAATTGATTCTGAAGGGTCGCGATGATCTTTTCGCGAACAAGCTACCCTTTTCGCAGGTTTTACTTGCAGTCGTTGTTTTTTTAATGCGCTGCTTTTTTTTTTGCAAACAATAGTGGTGAATATTGAATGGTCTACCAGCTTCGTATACTTCAAGTCACTGAAGGACGATAGAGTATTATTTAATATTTAAAAAACGACTGATAATAAACAAAATTAGTTTAATTGCTCCTTTGATATTAAAAAAGCAGTTACTACATTTGCTAGCATGTAAAGCATCTTATAATTTCTGAGTAATTTGCGATATATTCTCAATATATTTTGAAACGACGTTATGAACAGTCGAACATTTCTAACTTCTTTTAGCAAAAAGCAGATCAAAGTATCTTTACTTTTTAATTGGTAACGATATTCTCAGGATTTCATTGATGAACTTGAAACTAGTTTTTTCTAATTTTAAATAAATATGTCGATGGATATTTTAACATCCGTTACTAATACTTTTTTCATAAGGAGAGCGATCAATTTTAGAGATAAGGAACGACAAACCCACTTCTTGGCGTGGCTAATCAAACGAGTTAACGACAAACGTTATCATTATAATACAATTACATTATCTCATGATGTTAGTCAAAATAGATCAAAATTTATTGGCAAAAATGCTCTTTATCTATTTTAATTTACTTTTCATTTTTTGGCCACTAGTTATATCTGACTAACATTCTGATCTAATGATAGTTGCCAAGTCGATCATTTCCAGTGTTCCTGAACTATCCTATGTTCTTTTTTTCATGAGCATTCAGTGAATATCCCGCAAACATCTACCTTTGGCGTGGGATGTTGAAAACGCATTTTTAGAAAATAAAAACTTTGACTTTAACCTCTGGTTATAATGATTAATTATTAAAAATAGCTTTACAACAATTTTCCATAACGTTGAGCATCCTAGTAACTATCTAAACTACAGATACTAATATTGAAATTATTAGCGTGCAACGGATAAAAAATGGCTATGCGAAATTTTAAAAACACACACGCACATCGCTATTGTTACAAGGTGACCTTTCGCGTAACGGTAAAACTACTTAGCATACTTGTGTTCAAAATGAGCCAGTCAGACAGGGTAAGTGATAGGGTCCTTTTACTTATGCTTACCTAAGTTAGGTCCCGAGAAGCCAAGTCTTTAGTTATACGAGGAGTCGAATTTAATACGGTAGTGCTCAGTGCATGCATAATGGCTTCATGTATGTTGCGAAGAAAAGCGGAAAGCTGAATTTCTAGCTCTTTGGTCACTCAGGAGTCTGAGCTTACTTAACATTCTATTTGCTTGCTCTTCAAAAGTCGAGTGGGACAAGCACCCCCGTCCCCTCAATGAAAGAGCATTTAGAGTACGTTACGTGATCCTTGTGTGGCTACAGTATAAGCTTTTTCGCCACGCGTGTCGAAAATCCCCGATCGAGCAAGGGGTAGATTGATAGCCCTGGAAGAAGTTAAAAAACGCATCAGACGGGAAGCCTATCCGCTGATGCCGTGCTGCAGATGCAAGCACAATGCAAACTTCAAGGGGCAAAACGACCGGTCTGTATCAAAGCAAACCCAAACGTCATTGTATTATGAATAATAATTACTTTTATCTGTTTCAATTCTATAGAGACTAGGTCTGCATTCAACCAACCAGAAATCTAAGAAATAAATCAGTGCACTGTTTATGTCGGTCCACAGCCTTGAGCCTTGCTGATAAGATGATTGGCGTGATAACAATGGTATATTGCGCTTTCTCATTCGTAATAGGACCATTCAGCGAACGTACTTTTTACAATATTCGCTGATCGAAATTTATTGAGCTTCTGTTGTTTGTTGGCTGTCAAAAGAGGCGAGTGTATATATCATTATCTCTATTCTACGCATCTCACATTCTGACTGGTTTCTTTTGGACAAATAGGTTACTTGAGCCTGTCGTAGATGCTTGAAGGCTATGTTTATGTTCAAATTAGACTACCTACGATCCAACGGCAATGCCAACCTAATTCACATGGGTAGAAGAAGTTATAACCGTAACAGCAGCAGCAGCAGATTCGCATATATACGTGGGATGGACTTACTGCTGTGGTCATTACGGAAGGATATTTACTTACTAAGTACTAACGTTGTCGTCCTATTTAGTTGTCTTTGTTCTTTTTCTCTCCTCGATGGTTTTTTTTTGTTTCATCTGCTCTTGTCGTTTTCCCAGCTTCACCGGCATACTCGCTCGCTCGGTAATTCCAGGGTCTGACTCGCCAGCCAGCCAGCCAGCCAGCCTCGGCACCACCCCATTTTTTCTGCTGCACTCATCTACTGCTTCCTCTTTCTCTCCATTCCTTTGCTGATGTTTATTTAGTGAAAACCTGAAAATGCATATTGTACATAGTGTGAAGATTGTGTTTATGGAACTATATCAACCACCACAGACGTTTGCTGTTAACCGCCATAGAGCAAACACGTCTCCTGAATAACGTTAATATCGCGTCCTCTCAGGCTATCAACTGTTTCCTCATCTTCAGTTTCAGCATAAATAGCAATGTACCAAGAAATGGGCAATGGAAAGCTAACGTTGCATCACCAGCCAAACAGGACAAACTACCTTGTTCTGTGTTCTCTTACCCGCCTCAATACTTTACGCTAGCATCAGCTGCAACGTAAGAACTAACTTCCTGTGCCATAAGGCGTCTTGCCGAATAACACTTGCTTGCAGGACGAATGCTTGTTTCTCACCAACTAAATATCAGTCGGCAACAAACGAGCACTTGTCATGCAAGGTAAGACTCCGTAAAAGGTCGACGACTGGTCGTTGTTTACAAAAGCATAGTCATTTAAGCGCCTGTAAAGGCTCACTGAGTATTAATAGAAAGCTTTCTTGGGGAGTGCGACGTACAATCCAGGAAGACCAATGGGAAATGTAGCACAAAATGCTGAGTTTAGCCTGAAACCATTTTCCAGATCGCTGTCATCAGTTTACAGTATTTCGCATAAACATCTATAGTAGCGAAATGCGTTGGTTACAGTATGCTCGACTTTGGTCAAATCATATTCTAAACTACCGAATAGAATTAAATATAGGCAACTGTCTATTGAATAGAGGTAAGTTTGTCTTCGCCAATCCAATAAGTTTACTACAGGTGCAAAAGTTAGCCGCTGCCAACTTCATTGAGGTAGCGCTACTCTCACTGTTTCTAGGATTTTTTCTTAATGATCGCGTCGCATATACCACTTTCGGTACAGCAGGTTATCTGCAATGATTGGGGAACAAATAGCCAATGTAGGGGGGAACAAAGGGAAAAACGAATGAGAATCAATATACTTTATGCTGTGCTCAACTCTAAATGAAGAAGGTGGTATTTATTTTTCGCGAGGACAATTGCTAAATTTATTACATAGTTAGAACTGGTATGAGCAAGGCAAACAAATTTACTGTTCTTGGCCAAATCCGTGCCACCGTTGGATTTTACACGTAGTCCATTTAGAATCTTTCGCCCTTAATTTGCTCGCTATACAATTCGAATGGTGTAGGAAGATTAATGGAGGGAAAATATGGTTTCGCTTACATTTTTTTTATCTTTAGGAATGGGAACATTTGGACCTTGTCCAGCTTTCCTTTAAAAGTAGTCTATTTAGGCCAACATTTAATCATGCAGGCACAGCTTATTGCAAAGCTATACCAATTGTTTTTATTGCGAGAGCAGCATAGTGTTACGGTTTCGCTTTTAATAACAATGACGAAATATCTGAAACGTTTTCGCCTGAATTCTCCTTATTATTGAAGAAATTATGTTTGCGGACTATCTACCGTGTTAGCGCTCTGTAAAAATACGATGCTCATATTTATACGAGCACTTTAACGAGCGTATACGGAATAAACGCTTCATTCTACGGAATCTAGCAGCGGTTAGTACGCCGCGTCATTTTTTTGGGTACTAAGTAAACCATCGTGTATCGCGTTCCTGTAGTTGATATGAATTGTTGGCTTTATGGTACAGCCGCTTATTGTGGTGTTTTTATCTAGTACGTACTATCGAAAACTTGATTTCTTTTACTAAAAATTGTTTCTTTAAACTTAGAGATTTTTTTTAAACTATAGTAGTGTTTGATTGATATCGCTTGATTAAAATGTCTTCAAGTTTGTTCTTAGGCCAACTGACAGATTTTAAGGGCTCGTTAGTATTGTATAAATGGCCTCCAAAAGAAAAACGCAAGTAGACGAGATCCGAGTTGTCAGTTTCCTTGGAGCCAATAACCGCACGTATAAAACAACGCCCGAAAGCGGCAGAAAGATTTCGTTCACTGCCCATGAAAAACGTCGTTGCTTTGTGACTTACGGTCGGCGACGCCGTTCTGATTTTTCTGGCTGCTTATTAATAAGATAAGACAAATATTTCCTAAAGTACCTTCATTTGTTTAGATTTTGATCGAGACAATTCATCCGACATAACATTATCTCTTATTGTCTATTTTTCAGCATGCTTTTTTAGGTATGCTTAGACTATACGGAGGTACTCAGTCAATATCCTGTCAGTTGAAAACGTACGCTCGGTTTTTCTCGGTAAACAAGTGTAGGCCCTGTATGGTATTTTGATCATAAAAGCGGAGATCCGTCTATGGCCCTCGTAACAGCTTCGTCCGCTGCCGCCTTTACCAGTTTGAGAACGTTGGTCAGAGGGAGAGAAAATGTCGCAGAAAAACGACTTTTCAGTGAAACACACCTATACAACGATTTAATTAATAGTAACTATTAACTACGAAGCAGTTAGAATTAGAAGTTCTGATGGCAAAACGATATATTCGCAGGCTTGGACAAATGATTAAAGGTGATGAAGTATTTGCGCCGACAGAAGCCTTTATTCAGTGTACAACCCTCATTCAATTTTGAATTGTAGGTCTAAACGAGTGTACTACAGAAAGTGCAACAAAAACAACGGCCCCCTATTTGGAGTACTCACTAATTAATTTCGAAACTAATCGATTCGGTCATTTTTCGAGTTTGACTCTTTAATTATTAAAAATGGCTCTCTCTCCCATTTCAATCGGTTCTGACCGGAGCTCTGCTGTGGTTAACTTGTCACCAATCAAAAAACTCTTCAACCTTTTTAAACACAAAGACATTAGAGAGGGTATATTTTGCTCATATATATACATATTGGAAAGTAAATATAGTTGATTCTTAATAATGGCTTTGCAACTTACCTTGTTGACGACAGTTTATTCTAGATACAAACGGCCCCGTAGCCGCCTCAGTGTGCCTTCATAGTGAAAAAGTGATCCAGTGATTCTTTTGAACTGTCGTTGTACTTCTGTTCTAGGAGGGTGGCTAAATATACTATATATGTATATAATATACTATATATATATGTTCTAGGAGGGTAAATGTGGCTATTAAATAATTGTGAATAACGTTGGGGGCCAAGTCCTAGGCAGGACTATTCGCTTGAATATTCAGTTGGTGCTAGCTCACTCCATCGTTGTCATCACGTAATGCTGTTGAATCAGCTGTTAAGAAGTTCAGTGTCTTTGTCAGGAGTTCGTGATATGGCAGCTGTTCGAGTACTTGGATTCGCGAGCCGATTTCAGGTGCATCGATGAACACACTATATACAAGTTGCCCCTTCCGTGAAAGTGCTGCATCATCTAAGGACACTGAGCAGGCCAATAAGGTATTTAAAGTCCGCACTGCTCGTTCGGGAGTGTCCTAATTCGGTGAATTAAGAGATCTTCCAGAAGCTTGCAAATATCTTTTTTTTTTTGGTTATTCCTCGCCTAATTGGTGAGTCTGCCAGTGATTTTTTACGTTCCAAGATTTAAAACCTTCCAAGAAAGTAAAACTTAGTCCCTGTCCTTATTATACTTCCGGCATTTCAACAGCTGTTAGAGGTTCGCCTCGCAACACAATTGTTCGCTTCAGATCTTTGTCCCGTAGGTCGTTCAGGCCTAGTAATTTATTGTTTGCGAGCTGTTATATGACCTCGGATAGCACTTATACTGTGAAATCTAGCTCTATGCTGGTATTATCCTACTCACACTAGGCACTTAAGTACCAAGAGACATTGTAAGGGATGATATGACGCGGTTCCCGTATGTATTGTTGAAGAAGACCTTCAGAGCATCAGTGTCTACATAACAAGATGCGCTAAAGTTTCGTCCCTTCCTTAACCATACGTAGGAATGGCCTGAGGTTCGTATAGCAGACGTTCTTCTTGCTTATGTTCATATTCGTACTTCGCTTACTTTTATGTGCCCCTATCTAGGCTATTAAGCGGCACTGAAAACCTTCATTTCGAAACGAGCTAAAGCTCTTTTTTTTTTTTGTTTAATATCGTAGAGCCTTACTCCTCGAGCATTCGTGATTCCACTGAGGTCTGCCTTTTCAAATCTTTACCTTTTCTAAGCATAACTAAAGCCACTCTTGACACCTGGGTTCCGATTGCACGGGAATAGAGCGAGACCCGTTTGTTCTCTATGAGCTTGCCTCAATTTTTTGGCACGGAGGCCCACTACCTGTTATAGTCCGTACCTGCCCTTAGTGTGACTTCATTCGGACGAGAATGTGATGAGTAATTGCTCAGTTGATGTTTAGAAACATAACTTCCTTTTCGGTCAGGCTCATTGCAAATGCATACAGAACTGAATTGCTCATTGGGAGGTTCGACGCGCGAATTGAGGTGCGGGTCACCACCTAGTGCTCTGAGTAACCCGTCTATAACAGCGGCTGTCTATACGTGCCTCTGTATATTTAACCTTGCATTAAAGTCCATAACAATAATTGTCTATATCGAATCATGTCGTCGACCTTTCACTTCATCGTTTTAGACTTCTGTTTTCGTAACCTCTAAGTCTCGCTAAAGCGATTCTATTTGGAATTTTCGTTGTGCTAAGGTTTCGAAGACATCATAAAGGAACTCTGAACATTTCGCTCAGGCTTGATGTGTCTCTGTCTATTGCTAGAGCCCAGGTGAGCTACAACTGTTGCCTTGTCTGCCACTTCCAAAGAAATCACTGCTTGATATCCTACAGGTTCCTTGCAGCTTCTTCAAGAGTTTTACTTCTCGCTTGGTAGGAACAGCCGTTTTTATGTGCCATCGTTCTATGAATCGTTTGATCCGCAATGACTTATGACACTTGTGGGTACAATGCAAATTCTAAGGCGTCTTTTATCTCACTGACTCCGCGTTTGTTCACTGACGCTCATTCCAAAAGTAACCGATGCTTTTTTTTCAGCAGCACGTAAAGAACCTTCTCTTCTACCTCTCGAAAGCACCTTGCTTCGGCTTCCAGTACGCACTTCGGTTCTTTTTGTCGGCGCTACCTTTGTTGATGCGCTGGCTGTTAACTCCTGCGATCTTATTTATATTAGCCTATTATGAAGTATTTTGATAGATCGCCCATTCATTGCAGATGGCAGGACAGGTTTAGGTTTCCTAGTGGACGCTTCCTCACTTTAGGCAAATCACCACTCGTCTAATATATTAACGCTTCGAGTGATCCAGTTTGATATGTACGTGATAATATTATCCAAATAATACTATTATTCTTAATATTACCATTCTTTACTTAGTAAAGATATAATACATACGCGCTAAATGACAAACGTTTATTTCAACGTCGGCGTTGCCACTTACCATAAAAATGGAGCAATAAGATCGATATTACGTATGGGTCAGTGTTTAGCTGGTATCTTCTTTTTACACTTATTCGTATATAGATTATTTAGGTGACATTGCAGAGAAAGCACGCGTTTGATTGCGGATTGATCCAATCACCGATCCGCTGTAAAACTTAACCATGGATATGGATGCGTTTACAGTATATACGAACCGTTACGATAGGTAAAGATTAAGAATAAATGCATTTTGCTTTGGAAGCTGTACTCTTAAACATTGTTTTTCAATGACTTGCATCATACGAGGGTGGTCTTCTTAAGCAGATATTTTTCTAGGTTATTGATCCCTAATAGAAAGGTTTTTCGCAGATATATTTTAATTATTTGCCTACTCAGTTGGACATTTCAGGCGAATGATTGGCTTACTAATATCATTTATTTTCATCCTTATATTAAAATATATATGAAGAGCAGAAATGAAAAGGGCCTATGATTCATTCAATGGTGCTATTGAATAGTGGCTGAAATTCCTTCAATAGGTGGATCGATCTCTTGAAAAGCTCCCTCAGAGCAGTTGTAAAATGGAACATACAAGCCTAGAAGCAATGCAGAGAAACAGATCTCACACTATTGCTACTTTTTTTTTTATAAAGACACACGCTAGTTTGATAGCTGTTGATTAATAACGTTTCATGAATAATGCATTAATGATACGACGTTTAAGCAGCAGATTTTCTAGGAATGATATAAGATACTATATTTTACCCGTGAAACATATTATGCCAGACACACATACGATACGGCCTTTGTTGTCCAAAGGCCGTGTGTACGACTGCGCTGTCCTTCTGCGCGCCATGCTATTGAGGAAGGCGTCCTAGAATATGACCCCATGTGGTATCGTACAAAGGCATAGTTTAGCTTTCGTTCGAGTGATGGTAGAAGTCATTAGCACACACACTATGGTGAAAGGCATACACTGCGTAGCGGACAAGCACTTGTCAGCTGCTCCTGTGTCGCTCCTTCTATATTCCGTCCGCCATAGCACGAGTAGGGAAGAATTCCAGATAGATTTCAATCATTCATCCTTTCCATTGTCCGGCGAATTTTAGGTAGACGGGCGTTTTAGGTGAGCCAGACTAGCTTTGTAGATCCTCAACAAACAGCGGCGTATCCGCTAGGAAATACACGTCGCGGCTATGGCAGGCCCAGAGTTCTCTTGAAGAACGCAGACTTCACGCGGTTCAGCTTACCCAGCTGGGCTGTGATGAATTTCTCTCAAAAAAGCTTAATGCCACATGAGACCATCGATGCAAGCTCGATATTGAAAAAAACGTATCGCCATATTTAGGAGAAGGGGCAACGGCTTTTCTATGCCTGCGCCATCTACTAATATTTTTCTGACGTGTTCCGTTACATGCCTAGTGGGACAAACTCCGGAGCAGGATTAAGTCAGTCCTAGATAACAAAACCTGCGTCACGTATCCCAAAGGTAAGATGCGTAACTGGAAAGTGTCATTACTTTTCGAAACCTCATGGCTTCTTTAAGTTGATTTCCGTTGCATAGTTATGAGTCAAGGCTAACTTTGAAGCTGGTAGTAGCGGTCCTGCAACGAATAAGAGGGCTGTACAAACCATTCTCGTTCTATGTGGCCTGTCATAATGAGTATGAAAAACAATGTGTAGGAAAGGTAAATAACTTGCGCTGGACGATCGCCGAATTATCGTCAGAATAACTACACATTTCTTACAAATCATGCCGAGCCAATTCGAAGCATCGTTCGATGCTAAAAGGGCGACCAACAAAGACTAAGGCGAACGATCTGAATTTCGAGCAAATGCAAACTTGTAACCAACTGTTTCAGGAGAACTTGAACGCACTCCAGTAAGAGCTAGGTTTACCAATCACCGTGGCAATTACGAGCGGCAAGACATTTGTGTATGGTAATGACTTTGAAATGATAGCCTAAGTGTTTGACCTTCAGTTCAAAGAAGATCTAAAATTGCAAGAAAGCTGCAAGATCCGGTAAGAACGTTACGAAGAACAACATTGCTCGGTAAAATGATTCTGAAAGTTGATAGAATAGGCCGAAGGTGTTTGTTCACAGCAGTACACGGGCTTGCACGCTATTACTTGTAAAACGTTTTTTGCAAATAAAGTCAATGCCTGTGATGAGTCAACCATCGTAGTTACTGGAGCATCGCTTTAACCTTTTCCTTTCTAAATCTTAAGAAATCTTGAAAAAGAAAATATTTTCGAGAGAAGGGAGAGCAATACTAAGGTTTGTGCCTACGATTTAGTTCGAAAGCTATCTTAGGCAGCGAAATAAACGGCGGCGTATTTGTCTTAAATTCGGCCGGGGTTACTTGCGAGGTAATAACTAGGATTTAGAAGATCTGGCATAGTTTGTACAAAGTCATTCACATCACAACTGTATGAATAAGAGATTAAATAACAGCAATTCAAACATGTTTCCTATGTAATAGAAGCGACAGGATGCTAGTGAGGCTAGAGGCTAGTGAGAGCTGAAGACTACGCAGCCGGTATTGCCATTTACTCAGAAAACTTATTTTCCCTGCAGCAGGCACTTTTAGCGTTAGCCCCCTTCTTGCGTACCAATTAATCCTGCAAAGCACTAAGCAGGCTTCGAGCACGCGATATGTTCATAACTTTGTATGAATTCAAACTATAAAATGAATTCATTGAATTTGTAAGCCGTTTGTCTAACTTAGAGCTCAAACGTACGTTTTCTCTAAACTTATTCTGTAGCTAGTTTTGT